GGCCGGATAAGGACGGCCGCACACCAATCTCGTGGGCTGCCTTGCATGGGCATGAGGCAGTGATGGAGCTGCTATACTCACAGAATGACCGAAACCCTGATAATCTAGACTTGTGACACCTTGTCGCGTTCTTGCCTACTGCCGTTAGCTGGGAAAATCGTGTCTTAGCGTCAATAGGAGTCCTCATAGTCCTACTATCACTGCTGCTTCACCCTGGAGGGATACTGAGCTTTCTTCTCGTCTCCGAGCATCAGACTTCATCCTTCCCTATGGCGCTGTGGATACATTACCAAACCCTGTTGGTTCCTTCACCTTTCACTCAGTTCACTATTCCTGGTGTCCGGTACCCTTTCGCAGTTATGGCCTGCCTTTCTCCACTTCCTCTTTGTTGATGAGTCAACGATGACCCAACAGTACATTTGGGCTATCCTTCCATAGACTTGCACTCCCAAAAAGATCAGGTGCCGGCGCCCTTGTCACTCTAGATCTCGTGAGAATTATTGACATGCCTCTCACGGAAGATTCTTTTTTTTCCGAGTTTAATAAAATAATGGCTTTTGGCTCTCTCTTTGCATTTTTAGATTCTGTATAATATCAATGGATGCAGTAGTATGTTATACCACCCAGCTGTGGTTGGGATGGGGTTTTTAGTCCAATCTTTTATTATATTTAATTCTGTCATCATTTTAAGGTTACAATAGATTTTTCTTTCATCATATTTCCCACTGTCTACACTTTCTTCCTTTCTTCCTTTCTTCCTTTCTTCCTTTCTTCCTTTCTTCCTTTCTTCCTTTCTTCCTTTCTTCCTTTCCTCCTTTCTTCCTTTCCTCCTTTCCCCCTTTCCCTTTATCTGCTTTATAGTTGCTATAGATGTATAGTTCAAGACACCCAAAACGTATTCCAGACCTGTCAATTTCAAATCCTTAAGGCTTCATAGTGGTAAGTGTATAATATTATGAGAAAAAAAACCTGTTTATGGTTCTCCTTCACCTCCTCTTTTAGAAACAGGTTTTTTTTTTAATTTGCTCTCACCCCTACAAACCCTTAAGGATTTGAAATTGACATGTCTGGTGCACATTTTGGAGGTCTTGAACCATACCATGAGTTGCAATGCACCTAGATACTTTTAGTCGGAAAAATCTCCAATTGTCGGTACACTTACTACCGCCACGGTGGGGAGTGCTCCAATTTTTGATATTTCGGTTGGTCTCCAGTGCAAGCGTGCCCGGAAATTCTGTCAGCATTACCAAGGCCACTCTGGATGGGAGCGTATGATTATATTCGCAATACGATCATACATATTCGGAGCAATTATTGTAAAAACTCCACCGTATTCCCTGTTATCGCCAGCAGTATTATGACACCAACCGTCCTCCCAGACCTGAATTGGAGCAAAATTGATGCCCTAAACCCGAACTTTGGAGAGCTTAACATTGGGAAAGCGAGACTTGCACCGCACAGTCTCGCTACTTTTGAGCTATGATATCAAGGGACCATGCATATCGCCCTTCGCGTGGGGGTAGGTCGTGGCAGGAGTGTCTACTGGCAGGATGGAGGGCTCACGTGCTGCGGGAGGAACTTGGCTCTTTGTTTGTGAACATCCCATGGCTCCACCGCATCCCTTTTAGCGACGGGAGTTTAGTCTAGCGGGTACGGCCAATGTGCCCGTGTGTTCTCCATCAAGCATTTAATGAAAGATATCGGCGAGGGAGATCGGACCACTACAAGTCACAACTCGAAGGTTCTGCCATCGTGGGATGTGTAGATGGTTCCTCGCCCACTGCGGGCCGGTGCAAGCTGTTGCGATACCTGTATCCCCTTCCCGAATGGGGGTATTTCCCGCTGGCTGCTTTTGTTAGATATTGGATGTTCTATTGAGGAAATCGCTAGGATTGTATAATATGTTCAAGTGCGAGTAACGGAAGTCTGGTCATGAAAGTATTTACCTCTTGCCGATGCGGGAGATCAATCACAAGACGAGTTAGTAGAGGGGGGTGTTGCAGGTCTTGGTGGAGACCTATAGCCCGCGTTCTTCGGGTTGAAGTGCTTACCCAAGTTTCCATTTGGAGTTCGAGCTATCCGTCAGGTCTGGATTCCTTATTAGACAATACACCGGGACCGCATTCATGAATTCTCACCGATGCGGTGTGGGTTTCTCTGATTTGTGTACCTTTCGTGAGCGACTGAGGATAAGGGGGCGTCAACCTGCAAGGTATGGCATAACTACATTCTGTTGAGACATGGCTTCTGACACTACCAGTAACGGATATTGTGGCATCGTTCAGACTATTACTTTTTCTCCTTACATCAATTCGTACCCCAGGCACACATCTAGGCCTCCGGTACTATTGAAGATACCTCCTTACATTTCTTGTTACTGTTCGCTCAACCTTATTGTCTCGCTCACAATAGTAGATAGTAAGAGCTTCTCGCTCTTCCTTTCTAGACAATTAAGCATTCATCGTTCTCTATCACACAATCTTCTTTGCCGTGCAAAACACTCCTCACAGTACTTTCACAATACATTCTAGACATGTCTGGGCGAGTGATCGGACATGACTGCGAGTAGATTGAGACCTCATCGGAGGACAACCAGAGACAACTGATACTGGTCCTTTAGGGCAGTGGCCACGTGCAGTAGCACGCAGCGGTGCAAGGGGAGTCTAGATTTCGCTCCGATTGGCTTTGCCGATCAGAGCCCCGCATACTAGCTGGTGACTGCCATCCTTATAATGTAGGGGGGTGAAAGCAGGAGATATATATCTCCAAGCGAACAAGAATTCTAGAACCCAGAACAGACGCCATGAGCACAAAAGGATTCCACCACCCGGACAAACCATAATCCTTTGTGCTCCACAACAATCCAGAACTCTCATGAACCTCTAACAAAGGACCGTATGTCTAGGATCATAAGGTGTGAAGGAAACAAATCCCCATGCCCTGTGCCTGATTCCCTATCGCAACGGGTAACAATGGTAACAGGAAACCCAACCCCTAAGCTCTATAAGCGGAAACCGTTTATCCACCAAACTACCAAACCACATACCCCATAGGTAATCCGATACCTTAAGCGGCAATAACGCAGATTGGGAGTGGTTCGGCTCAATCATGGGTCCATATGACTGCTATGCCACGGAATGGCAAGCGATGAATCCCCATTTCCCTCACGCATGTACTCGGTGGTGGGGGTGTGGGCATGGTATGATAAGCCAAAATCTCGTGTAGGAGGGCTTTCGTAGTTGCATTCCGGAGCGTCTTGCCCTTAAACCCCAATATTTCCTCCCGCGTATGTGAGGGAGACTTTGCCCATGGATTTTGGGACGGATGGCTCTGCACTACGTGGAAGGAAGTAGCTCCTCTGGTATGGCATGATATGCGGGAAGGAGGGGGGTCTAGATTTATACCAAACTGCAAAACAAGACAACCTCGGAACCAAGTGATTAGCAAGTCTAGTGGAAACTATGATGGACCGGAACGCGAGAGGTCGTATAAGACGAAACAATACTCAGTCTTTATGGGATCTGGAATCGGACGAAACCAAGCGGTGATCGGGAAAGCGGGGAAAGGTCGGCGGGAAGCCATGCTGCCACGTGATGTGTGTGCCAGGTTATTGGCTCCCAAGTCCTAACAAAAGTCGAACTAAGGGCCGGGTAGGGACATAAGAACGACTTGACCTTAATATCACTGCCAAGTCACACTATCGGGTGAGACTTCCCCTCCCGGTGACCCTCGCTGTTTCAGCTTTTGTTACTGCGCCGCAAAAGTGTATTGTCTAAATCATGATGTCCGGTATATGAGTGAAATTAGGATATAGCTACAGTCAAATTCCCCAAGTTGGGTGTGAGCGCTGGTGTAGTCTTAGCGCCTAAGAGTAGAGGGGAGATCCGGGGGGATAAGAGGCAGGTGGCATTGTTCGTGCCTGTGCCTATTTGGGGAGCTATGTTTAGCCTGATGCCAGCTGGTTGGCAGAAGGTTTTACGCTACGACCTCTCTGCATGCGCTTGGTATAGTCGATTGTCTAGGAGGATGTCCGACTGTGGGATTCCTTAGCTGTAGACCAAGTGGAATGAGATAGGGCTTTAGTGTTGTGGGTTCAGGATGGGAAAGGTACGGGCATAAACTTTGTCATTCGTTTTCTCTCTCACCCCACTAAACGGATAGGTGATGACAAGTGTATAAGCAAAGCATCACCAAAGCAATAACCATCTCTCTAGAACGCAGCATGCCCATCTCTGTGACTCCGCGCATGCCTAAGTTCCTCCGTGCTCTCCCGCGATAACAAGGGAAAGATATGACTTCAGAATCATCTCCGAACTGTCAGACTCCCGTATCCACCGGAAAACAACCATGGCCTCCTGACACCCTCCTCATGCTTTCCGGAATCAACGGTAACTTACTATCTCTTTTTGATCGTGGCCATCTTGAGGACCGTAACCGGGGTTACAGGAGTATGGAACTAACCTTGGCGACAATTTATTATTTTGAGGCATTTTTGTCAAAAATGCCTGTTTTTTTTTTTTTTTGTTTTATTCATTTATGCATCTAGCCACATGGCTATGGCACAACCTGAGGCTGCCTATGTAACAAAACGACTACCAACCCCACATCCATACCTACTATTAAAGTAACAGATTCTGCCCGCACCTCTTGGCCCACCCTGTGGGCCATTTCTTATGCCAATTCATGTGCCCCCCCCTACGCGTATGCCCCAGGCTGCCACTCACATCCCCAGCGCTCAATAACTGTGATTTCTTTTCATCTCCTGAAATGCCCGCCAGAGCTTGAGTGATGCATCCTTTCCCCTCTGAGACCACAAGAGCTTGGCCATTGATAGTGCTCCCATTCCCAACCAGTCCTTAGCCCTCTTTCGCTGAGCTGATAATAGGCGGCAATCCAGAAAAACATGTCTAACAGTCTGACTAGAGGAACCACAAAAGCATGCAGGAGAAGCGATCTTCCCAATACGGTGAAGGTAATGCCCACAATCAATATGACACGTCCTAAGCCGGCTCAGCAGTGCGCGTGCCCCACGATCCTTGCGCTCAAAAACCACCTTCCACCTCTTACTCGGAGTCCCACCATACCTCTTGCCTTTACCTGCCACTGCCCTATGATAGTGTTTGCTCCATAGCTGTCCACAGAACTCACGCGTGCGCCGTCGTAGGTAAGCTATTGAGGTGTAGGCATGGCGTCCACCACGTGCCATCTGCGCTCCTGCCTTTGCAAGCCTATCCGCCTGCTCGTTTCCCTCCACCCCACAATGACCCTTCACCCAACCAACTGTTACAGTAATACCATGTCTCTCTGCCCTTGCGACAAGTGCCCATACACGTTGAACAACTGCTTCTCCTGATGATGCCTCCCTTCGGCCCATTCGCTGTACAGCTGCCTGATTATCGGACAGGACTAAGATTTGCTTCCTGCCTTCCTGAACTGCCATCAACAATCCATTTCGTATCCCAGCCTCAATGCCCACAAGCTCACTATCATAGACCTCCATTTCTTTTCCCAAAGGAATTCTCGCACCATATTCAACACCCCCATTATCCCTCCTCCACCACCCAGCTCCAACCCATCCTCCAATCATGGACCCATCTGTAAAGACTAACACCTCATCTGTCTTCTCCTGCCGTACCCGCAAGTCTTCTATACCACTTTCACCCCCCTCCTTCCCTAATCCTCTAGCCATAACCCTAGGACATATCCCATCCACTCTCCTTCTACAACTAACCAGCTCAATCCTCTGAGCATTTGACCCGGCCAGCGCACG